GGAGGAGGAGGGAAATATTTCAGTTGCTGAAAAATGCAGTTTCGGTCAAGCGGAAATTATTTGTGAATTTGACACAAATTCACCGTATAATTTCATCCAAGAAAATAAAATTGGGATTAAATTCACAAAACAGCCAGAGAAGGAGTTATTGCTGCTGCCCTTTATAACTTTTAGACCAGTGGTTAGGGTCCTCACCTAGGACAGGGGTTCAAATTCCTGCTAACAGGTGAATGCCAAGTTGTTGGCTATACTATGGTGAGTGTCTCTTAATCTCTCCGGTTGAAGCTGTTCCACTTTGTGTAAATAATTAACTATTCATTGGAGCAGGGACGTAAAGTTTTGGGTTTCCTACAGCCTTGGGGAATGTCCAAACTACTGTGCTATAGAGTCATTCTCAGGCACACATTTTCTCAATGATTATTCAAGTAGTGAAACAGCTTCAACGGGAGAGGTTGAGAGAGACTTCATCCCAGAATAGCCAATACCCCAGAGCAGGAATTTGAACCCAGGTCTCTCCCTGAAAAGTGAGTTTCCTAACTACTGGTCTAAAAGTTATGAGGGAGTGCAGGGTCACAGCACCTTCTCCTCCAACCATTTTGTAAATAGAGCCCTTTAAAAATGCCTGTCAACAAAACATTTCAGCTGAAATGACGTGTTTTGTTTGACCTGAAATGGATTATTTCAAGTTGCTGAAATTTTGGGATTTGGTTAGAGTCAAACTGATTTTTTTTTCAGAACTGCCAAAGAACTGTAAAATCAGTTATTCACCCACATCTGATAAAAGAAAGGTCTCTAAACAGTAGAAGATGCCATGTGGAAGAGGCATGATTACTAACCTAATGTTTGTTATTCTTCCTCCTTAGATACAACAGATGTTACTGCTGTGTTGGTATTCCAAGAAGGATGATCTGCTGACTGGTCTGGATGTCTGGGCTTTAGTCAAGTAACAGCCTTGCAAAAAGGAAACGTTTGACACTCAACTGGAGTCTTGTTCTTCTTTCTCTTTTACGTAATCACTGCTGCTGAGGTATCAGTATCAAGGCAGTAAGTTTCTTGTTACTTATTTGCAGTTATTTCCCTCCTGACTCTCTCTTTTTCTCTTCCCCCTCCAAAATTAAACATTCTCCAATAGAAGGAGAATTGAATGTCTTAGGAAATAGGTAATGGAACACAGTTTTTAACCCCTAGGTCACCAGTTCAAACTATGACCAGGTCAATAGACTGAAAGGTCTGATGATTTCATGACTCTTCAATCGTTTATGGTGTGTAGAATGAATTGGTGTTGGTCCATTTTCTATTGGGCAGATGTCTGCATCTCAAAAATCACTATAATTGGCACCCTTCTTGGCAGTCTAAGCAAGGATGCCAATGACCGAAATAACACAGACAACTATCTGCTCAGTCTGCAATGTTATCCTTCCAGAACAAGATTAAAGCACATTGGTAAGGTGGCCTGGTGAATGAAGTAAAAACTAGAGCAGAAGAGAGTGAGGGCACAGATACATGGTTTTCATCAAATTCCTGTGGAAATTTCCTCCAATTTTGTGAAACCACATAAAGCAAATTTCCATGCCTACAGTTCCTAAGTAGTTGATTATTTTATTTGAATGTGGAACTTGTTTAGAAGTTAAAGCATCTTAAAAAATATATTTGTCCACCCAGCTGGTGTAGTGGATGTGACATCACAGCTCTGGGTACTGGTTCCCGTGGACAGCAGCTATTACCACTAGGCCACCCTGTCACCTACACCTCTACCTTGATATAACACTGTCCCCGGGAACCAAAAAATCTTACCGCATTATAGGTGAAACCACGTTATATCGAACTTGCTTTGATCCGCCGGAGTGCGCAGCCCCGCCCCCCCGGAGCACTGCTTTACCGCATTATATCAGAATTCATGTTATATTGGGGTCACGTTATATCGGGGTAGAGGTGTATTATGGTTTATGGGATAAAGTTGCTTTTTTCTCCCTGTAGTTAAGTTTACTAATATCTTTCAGAGCAGTACCCTCTTGCAGGCCTATGAAATTATTTTTGGAATCTATTATGCCCCTGTTAAGGATGACACTTTACTTGACTTCTAGTAGTCTTATGCTTTTCTTTTCTTTCTTAATTGCACTTGCTTCTTTCTATTTGTCCCATTCAAATTTCTCCTGAAACAAAGGGTCTGAATAAAATCAGAAAAGAAATAGTTTCCTGCTTGTGCCATTCTGGCTGTCAGGTTGAGTGAAGAACCAGGCTAGTACTCGGCAGTGGCACACTGCACAAACTTAATTACAAGCCCCTACATTTGCAGCCAGAGGAACCTCCACATGCAGATCTCTCCTCTCCCATCTTGCAGGTGGGGTAAGCTCTCTCCATTCCACCATCCCCTGTACTCCACACAGGGTGCTCCGGGGTACAGATTTACATGAGGGCAGGTTTGAGAACTGAGTAGGTTGAGGACCTTTATTAGGGGATCTGGGGCACCTGTGGCTAGAAGGAGGCCCCCGCTAGTGCAGCTCCATTAAAGTCATGTTGCCAGAGTGATGGAGATCAAAGCTGGTGTTGATCCTTGGGAATCTGCAGGGTTTCTGGGTGAGTTTCAAAACCTGTTCTGTAGGGAGCAAGCCTTGCCCCTCTAATGGGGCAATGTTGGAGAAATTTCAGTAGGGGTTCCTTGTGGAGATTTCCTTCTCTTCAGTCTCCTCCCCCAGATTTTACCATGGAGAGGGTGATCTAGCTCATTCACAGCCATGATAGCCAGAGATAGTTGCACCATTTGAAACTCACAAAAGAAAGATAACCTTAAACTCAAAGATAATTGTGCATGAGGGAAGCAAGGAAAAGACTAGAGGGACCAACTCTGAGTATTCACTACATAGGACTCCTTTGAATATAAAAAATTGCAATATTAAGGCTTTGTTCTTTGCTTTTTAAAGGTTAGGAAGTAGAAAGACTCCAGTCCATTAAACCTGTAACTTATTTTTAGGGTATTAGTATTATTTTTCATACCCCTCTTCTTGTAAATTAAGCTACCTTAGTACTGTAAGTATAGCATTTTTAAAGAAAAAATAAATAGCAGAAACCTCTAAATTATCTGAAATAGCTTTTCTATATATCATTTTGTGATTTTAGGTCTGGTGTCTTGTAACCTAGCAGGATTAGAAAGAAGTGCTGTATTTCTTTAGAGAGGGGAGGTCCCCAGTGCTCTGTGGTATAAAGCCTTCTTTTCTAGCACTTGTGGGTCATAGGATATTAGACCTCTCACTGGGGCCAAATGATTTTTCCAGAAGCAAACAACAAGGGGTCCCTGGTAGTGCAGCTCTGATAGAATCGTGCTTATGTGTATGTGTGTTTTTTTAAGATGGAGTGAGTATGGAGGCCAGAGCCGCTGGTGAGGCAGAGGGACTCTGTGGGGATGGCTGTAGCCTAAGAATCCTCATGGCTCAATGACTCAACCTATTCTGTGAAAGAATGAGGGTGGGCAAACCTCATCCCCCACAACGATGACAGATTCTTCTCAGTGTGAGGCGAATCCTCCCCCGGCATTCTCTCCTAGAAGTTTTAATATGGAAAGTGGTGGCAATAAGACTCCAATGACTCTACTGACTCCAATGGCAGCACTACCAGGTCCCTCAATTGTTCCCTATAGTATATTTAAAACATTTAGTTCAATCCAGTTTTAGATAACATGAGGTGGGATTTTTAGATGCCCTCAATTAACTTAACTCTGCTGCCACTGAGGTTAAGTTTTACCATTGCCTTCAATGGAAGCAGAGATAGATCAATGGTACAACTCCCATTGTCTGCAATGGGAACAGAGTTAAGCTAGTGCTGAAATTTTTGAAAACCCTACCCTCAAAGCACAGGTTTTGTAGATGTAAAAGGATATTTTCTATGGTAACCTCACTTTCTTTATAATATTTCAATAAGATACTTACTAAAAACAAACATAAAATGTTATTTTAATCCTAATGATACCAGCTAAAAATGGTTGTGCTGTATATACAAAGCATATAGACTGAAACATACCCTTTTGTGAGCAAAATCCCACCCCACTATAAATAATATCAAATTTACCAAAAGATTCCAATGTGAGACAATAACTCAAAAGAAACAAGTGTAAGTTTATTGGACTCCAACATTTCTTAGTCAAAATCTAAGTAAAGAAAACACACAGTAGAAAAAGTCATACAAAGCAGCAATGGATTTACATTACATTAAAGGAAGAGTTATTCTAAACTATTAATTCTCAGTCCTAAAAAAGTAAAAACCTATTAATTAAAATCCAACACTGATGTAACTGAACTAATATACAATGGCTACATGATATACAGGATTATAAAAAACAGCTTTTATTTGTCTTAATCTATAACACTTTAAAATGACAAGTGATTTTATGTAACTTTAAATTGGAAAATATTACAGTTTGCATGTTTATGTTGGATTATTCCAACTTCCACAAAGCGTAGGAGACTTTTTCCAAACACTACAAGTGATCCCATTTTTCCTGTTGTTTTAAAAAGGGACACTGTCAAGGTTAAACTCTGATGTTTTGATTTTGTAACTATTCATAAGTTTTCAAATATTGTATTTTAAAGGGTATTTTAAATTTAACACTTTGCTACAGTGGTGGAAACCCAAACACAATATTTGTGCCAGTGTATGAGAACTAGAAAAGGAAACTGATTTGTCTGTTTTAACTGTCTCAGAATAGCAAAATACAACAGATCCACAAAGCTCAGATCCATATTTCAGACACACTGCCAAAGTTTGAGGGTATCCCTATCTGGGATTTTCATGCCCAAACATCTAAAATATTAACAACTGGGGTTTAAAAATTATATTAGCTTTATTAGTATCAAGTATTGTTAACACAGGTAAGGATGTTTACAGTATGTTTATCATGATAGTATCCCTTTATGTACAATAGTTAGTACAATTTTTGTCACAAGTCATTTTAAACAAACGAGAATCAATAGGACTTCAAAACAAAAACCCAAATACTATCAGGCTGAGTTCAACACAAAATTTTTTAACACTGATTCACTAATTACAACATAAAAAAAAATCTATCTTGCTTTGATTTGCATCTAGAACTTCTGGTAAGAAAATGTAAACAGACAGTACAGGCACATGCCAGCTTTTATAGGCACATGCCAGATATTTGCACCATAACTGCTAGTGCTCAGGAGTTAGGGCCATATTCTATCCTTGTCCCACATGAGGAACTTCCACTGATGTCAATAGAAGTTTTGGGCAAAATCTTAGACCTTGTCTACACTTATCAGGGATTTGACGTGCAGTGATTGATGCATCAGCAGTCGATTTAGTGCGTCTAGTGAAGACCCGCTAAATCAACCGCCGATCACTCTCCCGTCAACTCCTGTACTCCACCTGAACGGGAAGCGCAAGGGGAGTTAACGGGAGAGCATCTCCAGTTGACACTGCGTAGTGTGGATTCCGCGATAAGTAGATCTAAGTACATCAACTTCAGCTACGTTATTCACGTAGCTGAAGTTGCGTAACTTAGATTGATCGTCCCCCGTAGTGTAGACAAGGCCTCAGAGTACAATACAGATCTGGAAGAAACCTGCACTTCCTACTTGGGCAAAAAGCCTCATGGATGTCAATGGGAGCATTGCCCAAGGAGAGAATGCAGGAGCAGGTCCCCTACAGCTGTGTGTTTTGGTTCACTGGAGGGTTGTAAGGCTATAGTTGTGTTCTGAAATGAGACTGACAACTCAACTGCCATCTCTGAAGTTTAACTGTCTATTGTTTTCTTTAAAAAAAGTTACAAAATTAGAGTAGCAATACCATTTCATGTCCTTTGTCTATTTTGGTAAAATTGCAGAATTACACACTAACTATATATGTAGCCTTTATTCAGAAGAACATTCACTTATAACATTTTTGTTTCTACCATTTAAAAGTCCACAACATGTAATTATTTCCATTGCTTACTTTGAGTGGTTGATTATGGCCCCAATTCAGCACAGCACTTAAGCATATGCTTAAAGTTAATCATGTTTTAAGGCCCAATGACTGCAGTGGGACTTAAGCATGTGCTTAGCTGAATCAGTACCTACATGAACTAGCTTTACTTCACAGGCCCAATCCTGTTCCTACTAAAGTAAACAGGAATTGTCACCTACTTGAGTTGGAACAAGATGAGTCTCTGTCAAATTTTGTTGATGGAGGACAAAACAAACGAAGAAAGAATTAAATTCTAAAGTATATATTAAAACATCTGCATGTTCCGTCATGCCATATGAAAAAGAGCACAAAACCTCAAAGTTTAAGAGAAATCATACAAACTTTCTGCAATTGTTAAATAATCAGACAAAAAAGCCAAGGCCTTTAGTACCCAATTCACACAGTTGCAAAACTAAACCAAATATGAAGAAGACAGGTTTTTTTGTATCAATAATTTGCCTATCATTCTTGTTATGGCCAAACTAGACATTCTTTAAAAAGACCTTTATTGTATAAACAAGCAACTAACAATTTCTTCCATAATTTAACTTTTCTAACATATATTAAAATTACATGAGTGGAAGCATATTTATTCCATATCCTCCAAAGTAAACACTTCTGTCTCAGGGCTTTTTAAGGTACTGTATAAAAGCTAATAGAAAACCAGAATTGCTATATAAATATCTCATATTTAAAACTTTATTTAGAGAGCCTGTATTCCTTTATTGGACAACAAACAGGAACTAATTTTAAAAAAGCACAGAACATGCTCAAAATTAAAACAAACTTTTAAAAATAATCTAACAAATTTATAAAGGAAACTAGTTATATCCACTTTTTTCTGACTTTTACAATATATATTACACTTGGGGGGAAAAATCAAGACTTCTTCAAAATATAGCACAAGGTTGTTATGTGTGTGCTATTTATAATCTTAGTATACCAAAAATGCATCAAAGAAGTGCTTCAGTTGAAAATTATGATTATTTGATAGCTGAACTGGTCATCATATTTTCTCTTAGAAGGGTATACTCATTCTTAGAAGGCTACGTACAGACTGTCAACAAACTAAAAAGGAAATATCATGCTGTTTTGTACGGGAATCAATGGTGAAAACTTAGGCACCAATTTTAATACCTTGCTTTCACATTTTGTCCACATAGATTTCTTCTCCTAAAAGACATTTAATGTAAACACAAAACAATTATTTAGCTGTGCTCAATATATTTAACATGGCTTTATTTCATTTTGCTTTTGTTTAATAAACAAGGTTGAGTAATTATTATTTTATGGTGAAATTACTTCTTTTCATTAAATGGTTTAATTTTGTTAGTTGGAATTTAAAAAAGAAGGAGTCACATCCGGAAGCGTCACCTATAAAAGATTATATAGGAACCTTGTTTCATAGAATCATAGGGTTAGCAGAGACCTCAAGGGTCATCTAGTGCAGGGGTTCTCAAACTGGGGGTCGGGACCCCTCAGGGGGTCATAAGGTTATTACCCGGGGGGGGGGGGGGGAGTCACGAGCTGTCAGCCTCCACCCCAACCCTGCTTTGCTTCCAGCATTTATAATGGTATTAAAATATATTAAGAAGTTGTTTTTTAATTTATAAGTGGGGGCGGGGGGGGGGGTC